AGCTATGCTGTAAAGCTGCTAACACTTTATTTATCTCAATGACATTTTCAGTGTTCTGGATCATTTTCATTACTTTGACTTTGTGAAGAGTTTATTTTCTTTGATTTATATACATTTTTAGATTTGATTTGTCTTCATGTGATAAAATAAAAACCTGAATTGCTAGCCTAAACAAATTCTTATTTAGGGTGTCTAAATAAAAAAATTTAGCCTGACAGGTTCTTAAATTGTAGGTTCTTATATGCAAGCTTTTAGTCACAATTAGGGTGAAAAAATATACTAGTAATTATTAATTGAGTTTGTTTACATCATATAAGTTTCTGTGATCAAAATGTTTTATAAACTAAATGTCTTAGGCGGTGTTTATATGGAGGCGAGCCAGCCCGGTTACCTGAGCTAATTTAATTTAATTTTTAAAAGTCAATTTTTAAACCTTACGCCAAAGTGTGTTTAGTTATCGAACTACGAATCAAATTTTATAATCGCTGACTTTTTAACAGCTATCAGCACAAAAAAATTCTTACTTTTGCTGAATTAACGTCGGCAAAAATTTGCCGGCCTGGGAGGTTGATAGGTCGGCATTTAGGTCGGCATTGCCGAAGCCGACCTCGTTTTCGAGGGCTGTAAGCTGCTTTGATTAAAATATACTTTGATCAGAGAAACTTTTTATGTGTTTCTGTTAAGTGAGCACAATTTGTCCATGAGAAGACAGTCAAAGACAGTAAAGCACGGTCAAGTAGATTAATTTATATCATTTATCATTCTGACAATAAACACTATATAAACAGCCATCCAAAACATGTTGACTCCAAATTGCTCATTAACACTTTTTCATTGACAACTCCTACTCACGAGTATCATATCTTTAGGCCTTAATTATATGGGTTTCAGTTTGCAAATAAAAAAGATAGAACAGTTCGTATGTAACTATAGTGTATAATTAAAATAGTGAATAAAAAGAATTTTATAGTCATTAAAACCTCGATTGATGGGCTTCAACAAGCGATTTCACTGAAGTGTCCACAGTGAAGGGAGTGAATAGCAGCTATGTTGGGTGAAATGTCCAATCCTTCTTGGATTCTTTTCTTGAAAACCTTTAGTAGAAGCTTGAGGATCAGAGGATGTAGGTTCATGGGGAAACGCAGACAGAAATGGCACGCTCTTCATCGAGGAAAACAATAAAATAGATACACTTTGATACACTTTGTAAGCATCCCTGCTAGCGTGGTATCCTTTCCTACTCGTCATGTTGCCTCAAAAACTCGTTATTTGAAGGATTGTCGCTCAAAAAAGCTCAGTATATTTTGGAAACTTCTAGCTTCACTCCTTCGCTTGCAAAAAAAACAACGCGCGTGTTATTGCCAGAAATGAGACTGGACCGAGTATAAACCGAGATGCCCAACTCCCGGTGGAGTCCCCAGGCAAAAACAATCACAGACATGCGCAGAAGGGACTGTAACCTACCTTTAACCATGTAATTCAGCTTAATAGCTGTATTAAGTTGGTAATTTTTTGTTTCGTTCCCCGCAGGAATAGCCTGTGCACATCCTGTATTACCCTGTACTACAGTCTGTGAAAACTCACGCGATTGCTTGTCGAGCTACTCAGATCTGAGTAGTAGACTGTCATTGGCTAAAGATAATTAAATTATTTTGATTGCATACGATTGGTTAATTTCTCATCACTAGTAAAACCTGTTTTTCCAATCAATATAAAATTAATAAGACCACTTAATTTCAACGCGCGAAATTGATTTGTTCTTCAAAATTTCCCACACTCGCTGTTCCAAGACAAGGTAAATTTTATATATTTTTAATCGTCGAGAAATAGGCTATCGGAAAGTGTTTAAATCAAGTTTATACGATCAGAAATTTAGAAGTTAGGAGTCAATTTGGTAGCCGCTTGACTACAATTTAATTGTTTACACTGACACGAAAACAACATTACAAATCTTATGTAAGCTCATTCAGTTTTTGTTGTAGAGACTTTGTTTACTTATCTTTCGAAAGAAAATCTTCTACGGATTTCAAAACTATATAATGTGTCTCGTGTTAAGATAGAAAATAATTTTTAAATGAAGAAAAGTGAATGGACTTTGCACGTCAGTCGAGACATATTAAATATTTAGTACAGATTATATAAAGTTTGTAAAGGTTTGAGCAAGTTTTCACCAAATTTCCCGACGAAATTTGGTGAAAACTTGCTCAAACCTTTACAAACTTTATATAATCTGTATCGCTATACAACCAGGAGTTTAAAAATGTTTGAATGAAGTACATTGGTTGAGTATTTTAAAAATTATGCAAAGTTTTGTACTGTTGCGCTATATTTACATTCCATGCATGCCGTCATATATGTATTAAAATATTTTGAAATTCTCAGTACAAAACTTTAGATAATTTTTAAAATACTCAACCAATATACTTCATCCAAACATTTTTAAATTCCTGGTTGTATAGCGATACAGATTATATAAAGTATGTAAAGGTTTGAGCCTCAACTTTGAGCAAGTTTTCACCAAATTTTCCGACGAAATTTGATGCTTACATATATTCTTTTAAACTAAATATTTAATATGTCTCGACTGACGTGCAAAGTCCATACACTTTTCTTCATTTAAAAATTATTTTCTATCTTAACACGAGACACATTATATAGTTTTGAAATCCGTAGAAGATTTTCTTTCGAAAGATAAGTAAACAAAGTCTCTACAACAAAAACTGGATGAGCTTACATAAGATTTGTAATGTTGTTTTCGTGTCAGTGTAAACAATTAAATTGTAGTCAAGCGGCTACCAAATTGACTCCTAACTTCTAAATTTCTGATCGTATAAACTTGATTTAAACATTTTCCGATAGCCTATTTGTCGACGATTAAAAATATATAAAATTTACCTTGTCTTGGAGCAGCGAGTATAGGAAATTTTGAAGAACAAATCAATTTCGCGCGTTGAAATTAAGTGGTCTTATTAATTTTATATTGATTGGAAAAACAGGTTTACTAGTGATGAGAAATTAACCAATCGTATGCAATCAAAATAATTTAATTATCTTTAGCCAATGACAGTCTACTACTCAGATCTGAGTAGCTCGACAAGCAATCGCGTGAGTTTTCACAGACTGTAGTACAGGGTAATACAGGATGTGCACAGGCTACCGCAGGAACGAAACGGTACTGTATTTGGTTTCGAGCAATTATCACAGGAAAGTGACGTCAGAGATCAAAGTTATCCAATCCTTTGCCAGTATTCTTGCTCAAACGTCAATTACATTTGGAATCGTCCAATGAGATGACCGCTCCTAGCATAAGAAGTTTTTTGGAGGCGTGGCGTATAATCGGAAATCTTAGTTAATTATATATCAACCTATGAGAACATGCTAACTTAACCTGAAGTTCAGGCCCTAATTTTAAATAGGGCCTGACACAAAACCTGTCTAGACCGTGGGACGCTCACATGTTATTTTTAGACACAGCATGCCATATGATTGACAAGTGTTGTAGATTTCGTTACACAAAAAAATATATATTCTCATGAACATGTCCGCAGAGGTCTGCAGAGTGTGCATTTTGCTTTTCAATTAAACTTAAAAATTCAAGGTACTTTTATAGAATTAAGAGTCAGTTTCTCTATTTAACCGAACAGCAAACAAAGATTCAATTAGTTCTGTGTACAGCTTGACTGCCAAGCTTTCTCAAGGTCTCAACTTGCTGGACGCGGATATACCAGGGATATACTCTAACGGGCTAACAACAGCAACAATAAAATTCTCAATCGTACCACGAAGAAGGCGATGTAGCTCAGAAAACAACGCCGGTAGGACCTGATATTAAAAATAAGACTTTTGCCGGCGAAGCCAGTTGGCAGAACATCTTGGCTGTCAACAACAAACTTTCGAATAGATGACTAGTTTGGCTGTTCTTTCAGCGTCGTGTGTCCAAAATTCGTCAAAGATTTTGATAAAGACCTTCAAAATACTATTTGTTTGATTTATTTTCTGCCATAAAGCATAAAAGAAAAGAAATTCGAAGAAATCGATAATGGATTTGTTACGTGCGTTTGACCTTTATATTATTATTGTCCCCTTGAGCCCTTGACCGAGCTATTTTTAAAACTGTTGTTTATGTGAACTTGCAACCAACCAAAATCTTAGGGCCTGAACTTCAGGTTAAATCTACAGGCACGATGATTTATATTTGAAGTATTCAAGCGCCAACAGCGGTATATATTTATTATATAGTTTTCTTTGTTTTTCTTCATTTTAAATACTACTACTGTATTTCTGGACCGCTCGGCCCCTCCAGGTAATGAAAATTTATACTAATACGTGCAAAAATTACCAGAACCCGCCCGCCTCACAAAATGAACCAATTTCATTGCTCGACATATACAAGTGATCTATGGTCACAACCGCTAATTACAGACGTCTGGTATTTCTATAATTATATTGGAACGAAACATTATTTCTTTTTTAAAGAAATATTTCTTTGTTCTCTATATTGAGGTTGAGTATATGAAGAATTAATTATCATGCAAGCTGTATGTTAATTGGATATATCAGACACATCTCAAAATCTGATTGGTTTAATGGTCCCGTAATGGTAGGGGGGTAGTGGAGGTCAGATCCGAACCTCCATATTATTGGTCACAGTTCACAGCCAAATTGTCATTACAGTAAACATCGTTGTACATGTTCATTTGATCATACTGGTCAAAGTGCATGGGCACGTATTTATATTTGTTTTAGTGCACAACAAAATCCAATTGGAATTCCAATAGGAATTTCTATTGGGATTATTGGCCCAAATTCCAACTGGAACCAATTGGAATTCCAATAGAAAAACAGAAAAACTCATTCCAATTATTGGAAATTGACCCAAGTTCCAATTTGAATTCCAATTGGATTTCTTTAGTTGTTCTGCCTTATGCAAGGCATTTTTACTCCTGACATCCGGGTAAGTCTTATGCATTTTCAATTATTTCCAGTGATATTGAACTAACATGAATGACCAGCCAAATGCAAGCCTTGGTCATGCCAAGCAAGAGTTTGTTTCACTGCTGTCAAGACTATCGCCGGGTGAGAGCAAGGATTTCTTTGATTGGATAATTGAACAACATTCGTCATTGAGGAATGATGAAACATCACATGATGTACAAGGCTGTCAGCTGTCGAATGCATTTCAACAGTGTGTTAATGCAGAAGAATCCTTGCAGTCTATTATTGAAGATCTTCGTGGACGACTTCCTCTCAGTGGTATTTGTGGCTCAGAGATGATGTTTAAACCAGAAATTGGCCAGGTAGACCAATGAACTAATACAGCTTTGTATACTCTATGGTTCTATAATTTCTGAACTGTTTTCCATAGAGGTCTAGTAATGGCCATCCCATACAGTGTTATTTGAGAAAACTTTTGCTGTTTGGTCACTCTTCTCACTTGCAAGTTGCAACTAAATAGAAACAAAAGTCAGAGAACAGCATATTGCAGGGTTGCATCACGCTTTTAGCCAATGAAATGCTTTTACGTATCCCAACTAAAACCAACAGCCAATCATGCACTGCCCTAGCTTACAACTTGCGTAGCACCAATGCAAGTACCTGTAAAATAGAATGTGTCTGCCAATTTGCCATTGCCGTGATTTTAGTATTATATCACCATGCAGGACCATTTCATCATTGTGAGTTTTGATTTTTTGAAATAACCAGTTACTTTACATATAATATGAATCATGCTCAATCACTATGCAGTGTGTACTGACTGTTCACTGGCTTGGAAGGGGTTATATATATATAGGAATATAAGAAGGAGTATAAAGGCACATGAAACAAAAATTGGATAACTGGTTAATTTTGAATTCCTAGAACTCAGACTGTAATCCTGCCACAACTGTAGTGATTGATTCATTTCTCTATGACGAAGACGATATTGACATGTTGTGCGATGGAAATCAGTTCAGTAGAAATTACTGCAGAGATTGTGGATCACATAATACAGCCCCTTTAAGTAAGTCCAATTTTCATATCGAGATTTTTAAACTCGGAAAAACTCGACGTAATTTTAAATAGCGCTGTGCAAACTCCAGTTTTTCGGTTCCGGCTGCGTTGGTTCACAACACAGCCAGGGGATAAA